AGCTCTTGTGCATGTTATTAAACTAGGTCTCCCTCATTTTTGTTTATTTATTTATTTATCGTTAATCCTCATCTGAGGATATTTTACCATTGATTTTTTTTTTCTTTTAAGAAAGTGGAAGGGAGGGCAGGAGTGGGAGAGAGAGAAACATCAATGTGAAAGAGAGACATCGATTAGTTGCCTCCCTCACAAGCCCTGACCAGGGCAGAGATCGAACCTGCTACCCTTGACCAGGAATCAAACCCATGACCCTTAGGTGCACAAGCCAGGGCTCCTTCATTTCATCATAATGGCTGTATAGAATTCATAGAATAAATATTCCATCATTTATTTCACTACTCCCCTGTTGTTAGATATTTAAGTTTTTTCCAACAGTTGCTATCATAAACAATGCTGCACAAAACAAACTTGTGTACATGTATGGGTGATTCTGAAGGGTAAATCCCTGGAAATGGGATTTTTCTGGGTCAGAAAATGCACACTTTTAAGTTTTTGACTGATGTTTATATTATACTAGAGGCCCAGTGCACAACATTTGTGCATTGGAGGGATGGGGGTCCCTCAGCCTGGTCTGCACCCTCTCACAGTCCGGGACTCCTCGGGGGATGTCCCCTCAGGGAGCGGGCCTAAGCCAGCAGTTGGACATCCCCTGAGGGGGGTCCTTAGTGCTGCTGCAGAGGCGAGAGAAGCTCCCACTACTGCACTCGCCAGCCATGAGCCTGGCTTCTGGCTGAGTGACCACCAGGGGGCAGCTTCTGCATTGAGTGTCTGCCCTTTAGTGGTCAGTGCATATCATAGTGACCAGTCTTCTACTGTTTGGTTGATTTGCATATTAGCCTTTTATTATATAGGATGGGAGGTGAAATAATTATTCAAACTCAAAGTTAGTAACCATACAGATTTCCCAGTTGGTCTCTATTTCAAATGTTCTGCCTGTTTTATAAAACCTATCTATATTGAGCACTTATTATGTGTCAGATACTAACTATGTTTAGCACTTTTTTGCACCACTTTATTCTTTTTTTTTTTTTTTTTTTTTTAAGAGGATGTTTATTAAAGTTGGGGACAGTGAAACAAGAAAGGGCTGGGGAAATGAGCCTAGGATGGGCTTCTTTGGCTTACTAAGAAGTCAGAGAAAAGGGGGCTTTGGGGACAGGTTTAGGGGGTTTGCCCAGGATGAATTGCCACTGACCATTGTTGCCCTAATTGCAAGCCTCGTGGGGTCCCTTAAAGTTTAGGAGATGAATCCCTGTGGGGAAAGAAAGGGGGAAGGCTTGGGCATGCAAGCAGGCCCATTTTACTTATTCTTAACAACAACCCTATAAGTATTAATACTGTCTTTTTCACAGATGAAGAAACTGAGTCTCAAGGAAATTACTGCCCAGGTTTATACTGTCTAATAAGTGGCAGAAACCAGACTTTAAACCTTTTTTGTCTAATTCCAAAACCAGATTCTTAAATGTGATGCTATCCTTCCTTCCCCTAAGCATGAAGTGTCCTGGTTTTTGTTTTAGGAGATATGGTCACCGTAATAGTCATATGTTATAAGCTTCCTCAAATCATTATTTCAGAGAGGAGTAGAGCTCTATAATAAGAGTCAGCCCCGTTGCCTGAGATGCTGTGTATTGAGAAACAAAGGGGTTGGGGAATTAGATGGTAACTAAATCTCTGGAAATTGGGTCCCACTCCTGGTTTCCTGGGCTCAACTGCACTTTTTCTGAAGAGGTTGGTGAGCCCTCTGCATCCACCCAGCTAGGACAAGGTCTTGTTCATAAGAACTGCTCAAGGGCCCGGAGTATGATCTGGGAGCAAATAAGGAAAGCCCCTCACACCAGACTAATGTCTCCTGTGACTTCATCCCTCAGTACGCAGCTGATCCCCAGGACAAGCACTGGCTGGCCGAGCAACATCACATGCGGGCAACAGGAGGGAAGATGGTGAGCACTGTTCCCTCGTGCCACTGCCAAAGACCCACCCAGCCCAGGGTTCTGGCTATTGGTGGCAGCTTACCTCCAAATCTGAGAGATTCTCAAAGCCTGATGAATGTAGAAAGGCAGGCATGTAAGGGCAGAGAGGGCCTGGTCCTTCATGCTGAAGAGCAGGCTGGAATCCCTGGATTTCCTTTGCTGTCCCTAGGTCTCCCACACAGCACCCCCTCAGCCCCTCCTCACCTCATTCCTCATTCATAGCTTTTATTAGCTAAGCAGAATGGCAGGTACAAGACACACTGCTACTTCTCCCTTGTGCCTGTTGACAGATTTCACTCATCAATCACAACATTCTGCACCTGGCACCATTAAAGACTCTTTTCTCAACACAGTGCTTAGTCCCTCTGCAGGGATTGCTCCTATTAGAATCTAATGGCCTTGCAAACCAGTATGCCATCTCCTTTCTGGTATTGAAAGCTGTCTTTTATTTTACTGCTATATTTATACCTACACCCTGTCTCAAAAAATAGGTGAGGGGGAGACAGGATCTAAAATTAGGCCATGAGCAAGAATAGTTTTTTGTTGTGTTTTGTTTTTATTGCTGACTTGGGAGACCAGTGCACTTCTGGATTTCCAGCTCTAGGCCCCTCTCAAGAACACCTGGTCTGTTACAAAGTTTGCAGTGTCCTTAAGGTGACAGTCAAATGACCCAAGGGACACACAAGTATTTATTCCTGACCCTAAGACTAGAAAGACATGTCTCCCACAGAAGACTTTTATGTGATGAACAACATCCTCTGTATGGGAAGCTCACAAGAGGGCTCTCGCCCACTGCAGCCCATGGCATTGTGCCAGCAGCTTTACAGGCCCCAAGGCAATACAGCCCAGTTACTAGACAGTTTTCCCTTCTGCCACAAAGTTCAAAACCAAGTAATCTTGGTTCCCAGAGTTAACATAGCTTCCTCCAGTTTCCTTTTTGCCTGTATATTTCACTAGCTCTCTTGCCATTTTGTTATTAAGTACCTTGGGATCCTTTTTTATTTTATTTTTTAATATATTTTTACTTATTTCAGAGAGGGAAAGGGAGAAGGAGAGAGAGAGATAGAAATATCAATGATGAGCCCTAGCTGGTTTGGCTCAGTGAATAGAGCATTGGCCTGTGGGCTAAAAGGTCTCAGGTTCAATTCCAGTCAAGGGCATATGCCTAGGTTTCAGGCTCGATCCCCAGTGGGGGGTGTGCAGAAGGCAGCCGATCGATGGTTCTCTCTCATCATTGATGTTTCTCTCTCTCTCCCTCTCCCTTCTTTGAAGTCAATAAAAATATATTTTAAAAAAAAGAAAAGAAGCATCGAGGATGAGAGAGAATCATTGATTGGCTGCCTCCTGCATACCCCCTATTGGGGATGGAACCCACAACTGGGCATGTGCCCTGACTGGGAATCGAACCATGACCTTATGGTTCATAGGTCCACCCTCAACCACTGAGCCACACCCAGCCAGGATCAAGGTCCTTTTTTAAAAGAGGAGAAAGTTATAGTTACCAGTCTCCACTCCCCAACCCATAGTTCCTATTTGAGTGAAAGATTGCCTCAAGGAACTGTTCCCCAGACAGTCCCTATTTACTCTCCCCTACTAAGTTATAACTATGCCCCCCCTCCCTCACAGCCCTTACATTAAGCAAATGTTTAATAACGTGTGGTTGAGTTACACAGAAATGAATCAAAGATGACGATCACTCTCCTTTGCTCCTGGTCCAGGCCTACCTCCTCATTGAAGAGGACATCCGGGACCTCGCTGCCAGCGATGATTACAGGTAAATCCAGATCTGTCCCCTACTCTCTCCCCTGCCTTACAGTACCCCCAGGATGAGCTGGGGCCTACATCCTGTCTTCAACTTTTTTCCTTTGTCAGAGGATGCCTGGACCTGAAGTTAGAGGAGCTGAAATCCTTTGTCCTACCCTCCTGGATAGTTGAGAAGATGCGAAAGTACATGGAGACTCAACGGACAGAGAATGAGCATCGTGCAGTTGAAGCACCTGCACAGACCTGAAGCCAGGTGGCCTGGCCACACTAGGCAGCCTTCCTCCTGACCCTCTCTCCCTGTGGCTGAGGCCACCACTGAGACTGCTCCCAGAGGGATGATAAGCGGCATTAAGCTGTGCCTCACAGGGGTGATTCACTACAGAGCACCCCCAGACTGGCATGTACTTCTATATTTGTAAAGTCATTAGGATAAGAAGCAATTAAACAGTTTGTAATAAACACACATGATGAGCCTGCTGTGTTCTGCCTTGCGGGGGCTGACAAAACATCAGGGACTCTAGAAGTGGGTAGTGGAAAGGGCCAGGTACCCTCTCCCACCCCAGGTTAGACCCAGGAAGGTCCTGCTGCCCTTCGTGCTTCATGAGATGACCCCGGGAATACCTTGCACACCTCCCTGTCCCTGTTTCTTATTTCTTCACCCAACTAAGGCATGGAAGTAGCAGAATGTAAGGGGTGGCACCATGGTGGGTTCATGACAGACCAGAAGAAAATGCAGAGTGGCTTTCATTACCCCCATTTTATAGGTTAAAACACTATATTATGTAGAAAGGCAGCATATGAATCTGTTCTCTAATAGGGAGTCCACTGCTAGATTGCCATCAGCCTCAAGTTTTTCCCCTCGCCATGGGCCCAGGACATAATGGGAGAGAGGCAGGGGTTCCGGGTTCCAGGAAGGGTACCAGGCAAGATTAGAGACCCTCTCTTTCCCCGTAGGGTTCCGGGCTGGGAGTGCTGGGAGTTGTGGCCCGTAACCCGGCGATTGACCTAAAGGGGCACGTCCCACGTGGACTTTTTCTTAGCCCTTTAATGGTCGCCGTTTTCCAAAAGCCACCAATCCACTGCAGACTCGTTTTAATGGCAGCCTCTCCAGCCAATCGCCCGTCGGAATCAGGATTCCCGCGGCTCGGGAGTGGTGCGCTGGGGGGTGCGTCTAGCAGTTTCACCTCGGAGCGCCCCATTGGCTGGATCAAACCCAAGCGAGTCTCTGATTGGCCAGCGCTGCAGGAGCGTTCAATTCAAATGCGGGCGGGTGGGCCCGCAGCCCTGCAGTTACTGTCGTGTCCTCCGAGTTTGCGTCGCCGCCAGCGCTGCCCGGATGGCCTCCCAAAACCGCGACCCAGCCGCCGCCAGCGTCGCCGCAGCTCG